GAAATATGTTTAGTATATTCTATTTATTTCCTAATAATTGTTTTTTTTCTTTCTTACTAGCTTTTTTTTTTGGGGGGGGGTGGCTGCATCTGGCATTGGAGAACACTGCTTCCCCTAAACCCCCTTCCCTTATCTCCTGGGACAAAACATTGCTGTTTCTCTCTTCCTTTTCCAGTATTTTCTTATAAAAAATTAAAATCTACAGAAATGTTGAAAGGGTTACACAGTGAAAACCCATCTACCTACACCTAAATTCTATGGAATTATCATTTATATATGTGTGTATGCATAAATATACAGTCACCTGTAAAACAATTACATGTATGTACATATAAACAATTATATGTATTAAACACTTATGTGTTTGTATTTAGCCCATCATTCTATCTTATTTTTTGATGCATTTCAAAGAAAGTTGCAGCAATAGTACATTTTACCCTTGCCTTCTTTCAGCATACGTGTCATTAGAGTTTAGTGTTTGTTAGCTTTTTGGGCAGGGTGGGGAGAAGGAATTTATATGCTGTGAAATGCACTTAAGTTTCTCCATGGGGCGCCTGGGTGGTTCAGTCGTTAGGCTGAGCCTTCGGCTCAGGTCATGATCCCAGGGTCCTGGGATTGAGCCCCGCATTGGGCTCCCTGCTCAGCAAGAGGCCTGCTTCTCCCTCTCCTGCCCCCCCCGCTTGTGTTCCCTCTCTCGCTGTGTCTCTTTCTGTCAAATAAATAAATAAATGGATAGATAGATAGATAAATAGAAAAGAAAAGAAATGCACTTAAGTTTCTCCAAATGATGATTTTTTGACGTGCATATCCTTCTGTAATACAAGTCTCCCATCAAGATTAGGACAGTTCTATCACTCCGGAAAGTTCTCCTCAAGCCCTGTTTCAGTCAGTCCTTGTCCCCACCCCACTGGCTACCAGTGTTCTGAAATTTTGTACTATAGATTAGATTTGCCTATTCTACAGTTTTATGTAAATGAAATTATAATTGCTCCTGTGCAGGATTTTTCCGTGTGGTTGCAGTATTCCATTATATGAGTGGATTAGTTTATTGGTCTTTTCTCCTGATGGTGGACACCCAGGCTGTTCCCAGTTTTTAGTCATTATGAATAAGTTTCTCCTTATAAAAGTATTTTTGTGAACATCTGTTTAGTTTTATAGGAAATGGCTACTATATGATTCTACATTCCTGTCAGTACTGTGTGAGGGTTTCAGTTGTACCCTTACCATTTGGTAGTATTGGTTTTTTAAAAAATTTTGAAATAAAGGGGCACCTGGGTGGCTTAGGCGGTTAAGCAGCTGCCTTGGGCTTAGGTCATGATCTCAGGGTCCTGGGATGGAGCCCCATGGCGGGCTCTCTGCTCAGTGGGGGTCTGCTTCTCCGTCTCCCTGCCACTCTGCCTACTTGTGCTCTCTCTCTCTCTGTCAAATAAATAAATACAATCTTTAAAAAATTTTTTTGAAATAAAGCTGTATTACACTAGCAGTAAGAATGTTTATTATATTACCATACAGTGTGATTATTAGCTGCATGTTCTCTGTAGATCCCTTTTTCAGGTTGAGGAAGTTCCTTATTCCTACCTTGGTGAGAGCAAAAATTATGACTAGATGTTGAATTTTGTTAAAGTGATTTTTCTGTATCAAGATAATTGTCTTTTTTAAGTCTAATACAGTGAACAACGTGGTTTGATTTTCTTTTTTAAAAAATAAATTCTTAAACCAATCTGTATCTCTGGGAGAAATTCTACTTGGTTCTTTTATATGTTGGGTTGATTTGTAGAATGTTTGTTAAGGATTTTTGCATCTGTATTCATGAGTGATATAGTCTGTAGTTTCAATTTTTTGTAGTATCTTTGTCTAGTTTTGGTGTCAGGGTAATTCTGGCCTCGTGGAATGAACTGGGAATCGTTTCTTCCTCTCTATTTTCTGGAAGTTTGTGAATTGATATTTTCTGCTGTAAATGTTTTATTTATTTTTTTAAAGATTTTATTTATTTATTTGAGAGAGAGAGACACAGTGAGAGAGGGAACACAAGCAAGGGGAGCATCCCACAAACTTGATTTTACTATGTTTCCACTTTCATTCAGTTTTGAAATATTGTCTTAATTTCGCTCCTGATTTCTTCTTTGATCCATGGATTAGAAGTATGTTGTTTAATTTCTAGGATTAGGGGATTTTCTATATACCTTGTGTTACAGATTTCTTTAATTTTGCTTTAGTTGGAGACCATACTTCATAATTATTTTAGTCCTTTTAAGTTTATTGAGACTTACTTTATGGCTCTGCATAAGCTCTGTCTTGGTAAATGTTTCATGTTTATTTGCTGTTATTGGGTAGAGAGGTCTGTCAGTGTTAGGTCAGGTTGGTTGATTGTGTTTGGTTCTTTCTGTCCTTCCTGATTTTTGTGTGAGTGTCCTACCACTCACTGAGAGAAGAGGGCGTGTTGATGTCCCCAAATATAAATTTGGATTTGATTATTTCTCTTTTCAATTCAGTTTTTGCTTCATGTACTTTCTCTTTCTAAAGTGCATACGTGTTTGGATTGCTTTGTCCTGCTAACGAATTGGCCCTGTTACCATTATGAAGTAACTTCCTATCCATGTTAATATTCTTTTTTCCCCCTGAAGTCTATTTTGTGTGGTGATAATGTAATTCCTCCAGCTTTCTTTTGATTAATAGCATGACACATCTCTTTCTTTTACCTTTCACGTGTCTATGTCTTTATATTTAAAGTGAGATTTTTGTAGATAGCATGTAATTGGATCTTGTTTTTGTTTGCCCAGTCTGATAGCCTATGCCTCCTAATTTAAGTATTTAGACCAGAGGTAGGCAAACTATGGTTTGTGGGACAAACCTGGCTTGCTGTCTATTTTGTAAATAATCGTTCTTGGAATGTAGCCATGCCTGTTAGTGTTTATGGCTGCTTTTGTGCCTGATGGTGGCACTGGGTTGTGTGAGAGCTTGAATGGCTGGCAAAGCTCTAAATATTTATTATCTGGCTTTTAGTTCAAGAAAGGTTTGCAGGGGCGCCTGGGTGGCTCAGTTGTTAAGCGTCTGCCTTTGGCTCACGTCATGATCTCAGGGTCCTGGGATCGATGCAAGCTCCACATCAGGCTCCCCGTGCTCGGCGGGGAGCCTGCTTCTCCCTCTCCCCCTCCCCCGGCTTGTGTTCCCTCTCTTGCTGTCTCTCTCTGTCAAATAAATAAATAAAAATCTTAAAAAAAAAAGAAAGAAAAAAAGAAAGGTTTCCAGCCCCTGTTATTTAATATTAGTTAATGGTTATTGATATGGTTGAGTTTGAATCTCCTGTCTTGCTGTTTATTCTTACTTGAATTTTCTGTTTTTTTTTTTTTTTTATTCTTTGCTTTCTTTTGGATTGAATATTTTTCATGATTCCATTTTATCTCCATTATTGGCTTATTAGCTATATGTATTTGTTTACCTTTCTAATATACTCCTTCACATATAAGAACTTTAGAAGGGTGGCCTGGCTGGCTCAGTTGGAGCGTGCGACTCTTGAACTTGGGATTATGAGTTTGGGCCCAATGTGGGGTGGGGTAGAGATTACTTAAAAAATAAATAAAAATTAAAAAAAAAAAAAAGAGGGTGCCTGGGTGGCTCAGTTGGTTAAGCGACTGCCTTCGGCTCAGGTCATGATCCTGGAGTCCCGGCATCGAGTCCCGCATCGGGCTCCCTGCTGAGCAGGGAGTCTGCTTCTCCCTCTGACCCTCTCCCCTCACGCTGTCTCTCTATCTCATACTCTCTCTCAAATAAATAAATAAAATCTTTAAAAAAAAGAACCTTACAATACTAGGCTTTTGTTTCCCATTCCAGCTTTTGTGTTGTTACCATATATTTTACTTCTATATATATTATAAACCTCAGAGTACGTTATTTCCAATTTAAATCCTTATAATAGGGAAGCCTGGGTGGCTCAGTTAAGCATCTGCCTTCGGCTCAGGGTCCTGGGATTGAGCCCCGCATCGGGCTCTCTGTTCCGCAGGAAGCCTGCTTCTCCCTCTCCCACTCCCCCTGCTTGTGTTCCTTCTCTCGCTGTGTCTCTCTCTGTCAAATAAATAAAATTGTTAAAAAATAAATAAATAAATCCTTATAATAATTTGTACTTTTCTCTAGTTCTGAGCTGAGTTGGTAAGCAGTGTATTAGCATAGGTATATTTGAAGGCAATTGTTATATTATTATCTGGCTTAACTAATTCTTTTTTATATTACAAATCTTTATTACAAAAACGGCAATATAAACTGTGAAAGTTAGAAAATACAGGTAGTCAGTTCTTTAGAAAATAAAATTTAAAATGCCACGTTCCTGCCAATCAGAGATTACCACTATTAACATCTTGTTCAGCTTTTTTATTACTTTCTTAGTTATTTTCATCTTTCTCTGTCATTAAATGTGTGTCTTTCTTATCTAACACCCAGTCCATATTCACATCTCTCCAGTTTCCCCCAAATATGTTTTACACTTGGTTTGTTTAACCCAGGATTAAGTGTGAACCCCATTGCATCTGGTTGTTCAGTTCTCAGTGTCCAGCACCCTCCACCCTATTCTCACCCCCTTTCTGTTGTGTTAGCCACACCCTTGTCCACACCGCCCTCCGCAGGGCTGACTCTGGGTGTCCTTGGTCAGGCACACACTGGGAGCTCCCACTTCATACTCTCCCTGGCAAATCCTCCAAGTACTCACCACTGATGGAAGACGGCATTCACTCATGCAGCTTTGATCTTTTAAAAATTATTGGTGGGAAATCTCACCTGTTTATTTCTTATAAAACTATAATTTTTATAATTTAAAACTTTAAATGGATTATTTCAGCCTTTTCCTCCTTTCTCGTGCTTTATGGGTGCTTTGCCATAGTCTGTTCATGGGCTGTTTTCATTTCACTTTCCCATGCAGATTTCTTAGGTGCTAAATAATTCCTTCAGGTTATTAAATATTTATCTTCTGGAATTGCTTAATGATCTCTCTTTTTCTCCCTTTTTAAAAGGACCTTAAAGGCTTTGATCCAGGAGAGAAGTACTTTTTTAACACATCATGGGGAGATATTTCTCTCTGGGAACCTTCTGGAAAGAAAGTGGTATGTATTTTTGTATTTGATTTTTATATTTCCTCAGAAGTTGGGGTAAGTGTCACTTCAGTTCTGAGGAACATCACATGTTACTGGGATCCCTGATCAATAAGGAAGGGGGAGGCGGGAAAAAGAAAAACAAAGTTAAATGCTTTATAGTATAGAATCATTGTTACTTTGAGAGTTTTCTGTATATAAAGTTGATAATGTGATGTAGTGAAACTATTTGTCCTTGATCATAAGATGCCACTCATGTAAGAAGGGCCTTGGATTTATAACTTTTCTGAGTAAAAAGAATTGCCATGTCATTATGTATGATGAAGGTTCATCCTGGTTTCAGAAGCTTCATTAAAAATGTGGATCTTTGATGGGGCGCTTGCGTGGCTCAGTTGGTTAAGCCTCTGCTTTTGGCTCAGGTCATGATCTCCAGGTCCTAGGATCAAGCCCCATGTCAGGCTCCTGCTCAGTGGGAAGTCTGCTGCTCTCTCTGCCCCTCCCCCTGCTCCTGTGCGTTCTCTCTCTCTCCCTCTCAAATAAATAAAATCTTTAAAAAAAAAAAAAATGGATCTTTGAGATGAGGAACACAGTTTATAATAATTGGAGACCTCAAACCTAAGCAGATTGAAGCTAAATTATCCTTATTAAAGTGTTTTCTTCTGGAAAACCTTGCCTACCACCCAGCCATCCGTAACACTGGCACCTCCATCAGTATCAAGCTCAGCATGTCTTGGGTTTGATTTAACTGTGTCCCAGTCTCCACCACCCCACCACTCTCACCTCCCCTCCATTTGTCCAAGCCGTGTTGGCCGTGGGACTTTTGGCTTTAAAAAAACTTTTCCTATTACTAGTCAATCATTGTTCTGTCACAGTTTTCTTTAAAAACATTTCTATTGCCAACAGTCCTCCTGTGTTCCACTTTTCTGCTTTTGGGTTGTGTCCCACCGGTTGCTCTCCTGCCGCAAGATGCCTTGAAACCACTTTGATTTGGTTATTCTCCTGCTTGAAACAGCACATGGCTGTTCAAATATGCCTTGCTTTGAAGACCTTGACTTCATGAATCTTACGTCTCACTCTTTTTCTCTTCTGAATTCTCAGAAGATCCTGTAAAGTAACATGCAGTATGATATATAATTATAAGCTTTTCATCAAGAAACACTTTTTGAGTACCTGCTACAAAGTAGGTAAAGCATTTTGAGTCCCTGATACAAATAGGTACAAATTAGGTATTTTTTTCTTAAGATGTTTGTTTTTGTTGGGGTGAATAGGGCCTAGGCATAAAGTGTTAACCGTATGAAATAGTAGAGATTGAATTTGTTGATTAGATACTATATTCAGAAAAACCACCACTGCCCAGTGTGGTAGAGACTGTGCTGTGGCTAGATGACTGCCTTACTCCTCTTTGTTCCTACGGTGGCAGAAATGTGCACTCAGGCTGGAATGTGTGGCCGATGCTACAGTGAGGTCCTCAGGGGCTCAGAGAAAAGAGATTTGTTAGATGTTAGGGTTTTGGGCACAGAGACCTGCTGAGGTTCTACTGGGTGATGGAACTCAGTCTGGGACCTGAGGAAGCAGCCTCAGATTGAGTGGCAGGGGGATGGTGCATGTCCAGGGTAAGGATTGCTGCCAGCACCCAGTCCCCCTCGCTCTACTGTTCTGCATCTGGCCTTGGTCATTTTTCTTCCTCCGTTGCCAGTAGGGCCCAGGTCTCACATTTGCCTTGCTCCCGAGTGATCACTCATCCTGGAACTTTCACAGGGGACTTTTATAGGAATATAGGCTTTCATTTCTCTTGGGTAAGTGCCTAGGCTTGAAATTGCTGGATTGTATATAGTAAATAAGTACATATTTCTCTTTATAACAACCTGCCAGACTGTTTTCCAAAGTGGCTTTACCATTTTGCCCAGTGATGTAGGAGGTCTAGTTTCTCTGCATCTAAGCTAGACTTGATTCTGCTGGGTTATGGTGCTTATGGATTTATCCACTTATTTTCCACTTTAATAGGTGTGTAGGGGCACCTTCCCTGGCTTTAATTTGCATTTCCCTGGTGACTAATGATGTTGAGCATCTTTTCATATGTTTATCTGGCATCTGGAGGCCCTCTTTGGTAAAGTGTTCATATCTTTTGCCCATTTGCTAAAAATTGCGTCATTTTTTTCGTATTGAGACTTGAACATGTCTACAACATGTATTCTGGATACAAGTCCTTTATTAGGTATGACATTTGCAAATACTGTCTCCTAGCCGGTGGCTTGTCTTTTTATTTTTTAAACAGTGTCTTTTACAGAGCAGAAGCTTTCTTGCTTTGATGAGGTTCAGTTTATCAATTTTTTCTTCTATGGATCTTGTTTATGTTTTCGTATTTAAGAAGTCTTTCCCTAACCCAAAGATGTATTCAGCACTAGCAGTAACATGCAGCTGTTAGTAATTTCTGTTGGCTCTTTCATTGAGTGTAATTTTCATCGACTAACTGGTTTTTTACTATAGTATTTCTTTGAGTATAAAACACACCATTATCACTGGGATGCCTGGCTGGCTCAGTTGGTGGAGCATGCTACTCTTCATTTTGGGGTTGTAAATTGGAGCCTCATATTGGGTGTAGAGATTACTTAAATAATAAATCTAAAAAAATGTATAATTCAAGTATAATTGACATACAATGATAGTTTCAGATGCACAACTGTGATTTAGTAACTCTTTACATTTCTCAGTGCTCACCATGATAAGTGTAATCACCATCTGTTACCGTACGTTACTACAAAATTATTACCTATGTTCTGAGATAGACCATTTTTTAATGAACCTCTAATAATACTAAAGCAATACTTCATTTAAGCTGTGTTGTACCATTGAAGTATTAGTTGTAAGGTATATTCAGATTTCTGAGATAGTAAAATACGGGGGGGATGGTCTTTTAGAATCAGTGAAATATGGGTTATTGTTTTTTTAGTTTGTGGTCTAGGGTTGGCTGTTGCTGTAGGTTTATTCTAGGTCCTATCAGAAATGCCAGAACCTGGGATTTTGCTAATTGCTGAGAAGATAATTCCATGTTGTTGAACATATTTGGGTGATTTCTCTGACTTGTGGCAAGAGGGAAACCTGTATGAATAGGAGTGAGAAAACTACTGAATATGTGTGTGTGTGGGGGGGACTTGAGAGCACAGGCTTAGGAAGGACGGGGTGACCCACTGTTATAGCAAGAAGCAGTGTTGCAGAGAGGTCTCTCCCACCGCCGATGGTGGGACCTCGGGTGAAGCGTTTAGTCAGCCCGGGTCTTCTCTTTTTCCTCCATGAAACCAGGGCCAGGCATTCTGTGGTTCACCAGCTCTAGGGTCTGGACACTTACGAGACCAAAGACTTCGTGACTCTCAAACCTTCACAAACCAGCAAATTTTTGGATGTTTAACATCACATTTCTCAGCCAGCCAGCTCTTGTACAGATGTCTGTCCATATGCTCCAAGCTTGTGGAATTCCCTCATGTTTGCCCTAGAGAGGAATTCTGCATTGTTGGTCTGTGTTCTGGCCTGGAACTTCCTCAGGATTGTTGTAGTGCCTTAGGTCCAGCCCTCTTTCCTTCCTGTTTGTCACATAGTTTACTGGACACTTGCATGTGGTAAGCACTGTCCCTGTGGCTCTTACCTTCTCTAGGAATGAGGGAAATAAAAGTAATGACGGGTTTAACAATTTGCATGTTAGGTTATTTGCAGATAAATTCTAGAGGTTTTAGAGTTTGGAGTAAAAACAACATTGGAACTATGGGAAGTGGGATGAGAAGGGGAGAAATGAACTTCCTCTTGCAGAGAATTGAGTGAATTTCTTCTACTGGAGTAACGAGATTGTGGCTTAGGAGATGGCTTGGAGAAGGGGTCAGCGAGCGAGGTGCTGTGGGCCAGGTCCTGTGTGTACAGTCTGCAGCTTAGGAATAGCTGCTTCATTTTTAGATGTTTGAGAAGAAAGCAGTGAGTACTGTCTTGTGACATAAAGTTCTATGAAATTTGAATTAGTGTCCGTAGTTGTATTGGCACAAAGCCATGCGCAGAGATTTGCATGTTGTCTGTGGGTGCTTTGTGTTACAATGGCAGCACCAAGCAGTTGGCGTGGAGGCAATATTTAAAGGGAGGCCCTTTAAGAACAAGCTTTCCCTGGTTAGGAAAAACACTGTTCTGTGAGGGGTGATAGTATTACATTATCTAGCACATTAAATGAAGAAGCATCATGTACTTGTGAACTATAGAGGGTGTAGCATCTGATCTTTTTATTAAAGTATGCTTGACTTTGTTTTCTTTTAACAGAGATATCGAACAAAGCCATACTGTTGTAGCCTCTGTAAATACTCTACAAAAGTGCTTACCTCATTCAAAAATCATTTACATCGTTACCATGAAGATGAAATTGATCAGGAGCTGGTGATCCCTTGCCCAAACTGTGTATTTTCTTCTCAACCCAAAATTGTGGGAAGGCACTTCAGAATGTTCCATGCACCTGTTCGGAAAGTCCAGAACTATACAGTGAATATTTTAGGTGAAACTAAATCTTCGAGGAGTGATGTGATAAGTTTTACATGTTTAAAGTGTAACTTTTCAAACACTTTGTACTACAGCATGAAGAAGCATGTGCTGGTAGCCCATTTTCACTACTTAATTAACTCCTACTTTGGCCTGCGAACTGAGGAAATGGGTGAGCAGCCGAAAACCGAGGATAGCCTTTCTACTGAGAAGATGCCACCATCTGACAAGTATTATTGTAAAAAATGCAACGCCAATGCCAGCAGCCAGGATGCTTTAATGTATCATATTTTGACATCGGACATACACAGGGATTTGGAGAATAAACTGAGATCCGTGATTTCAGAACATATTAAGAAACCTGGACTTTTGAAGCAAATGCACATTGCCCCGAAGCCAGTGGCACCTTTGGCTGTACCCCCGAACAGTAGCGCCCCCGGCCTCGCAGCCACACCCCCTTGTTTTCGTCTTACCTTGCCACAGAACAGCCAGAGCCAGGCCCTGGTCCCACCAGTGACCACCGCCTCGGGCACCCCCGGGAGCCTCACCCGTTCCCCACCCGCTGTGGCACAGCCCCACGTGACTCTGGTCTCCAGCCCTCTGCCTCCCTCCGCTCCCCAGCCAGTCTTTCTTTCTCATGGAGTCCCACTTACCCAGTCAGCAAACCCTCCTGTGTTGCCCTTGAGTCAGCCGGTTGGACCTATAAATAAGTCTGTTGGAACTGGCGTCCTCCCCATAAACCAGACCATCCGCCCCGGGGCTTTACCCCTTAGCCAGCCTGTGGGGCCTGGAGTTCTTTCTGTCAGCAGACCTGCCGGGCCTGGCGTCCTTCCTGTCAGTCCATCTGTCACCCCCGGGGTTCTTCAGGCTGTCTCGCCAGGGGTGATTTCTGTGAGTCGGACAGTCCCGTCAGGGGTCCTTCCTGCAGGCCAGATGACCCCTGCTGGGGTTATCCCTTCGGGACAGACGGCCACTTCTGGGGTTCTTCCTGCTGGCCAGGTGGTCCAGTCAGGGGTTCTCCCCATTGGCCAGACGGCCCCGTCAGGGGTTCTCCCCACTGGGCTGACGGTCCCGCCACGGGTTCTCCCTCCTGGCCAGACAGTCCCACTGAGAGTGCTCCCTGCCGGCCAGGTGGTCCCACCTGGGCTCCTTTCTCCCACCCAGACGGTCTCGTCAGGCGTTCTCCCTGTGAACCAGGGTATCAATTCTGGTGTTCTTCAGCTTAGTCAGCCTGTCATGTCAGGGGTGCTCCCTGTGGGCCAGCCAGTGAGACCTGGGGTCCTACAACTTAACCAGTCTGTGAGCACCAGCATCCTGCCTGCAAATCAGCCAGTGAGACCTGGCGCTTCTCAGAACACCACGTTCCTCACGTCAGGCTCTATTCTGAGACAGCTCATTCCTACAGGGAAACAGGTGAATGGGATTCCCACATACACACTTGCCCCCGTGTCTGTCACTTTGCCTGTGCCTCCAGGAGGCGTTGCTACTGTCCCCCCGCCCCAGATGCCCATCCAGCTGCTGCAGTCGGGCACAGCTGCCCAGGTGGCCAGCTCCATGGCCGGCATGCCGTCTCCTCCAGTGGTGGTAAACGCCACTCAGAATATGTTTGTTCAGGCCTCTCCGTCTGCGGCAGAAGCAAACCAGGCGCTCAAACAGGCGAAGCAGTGGAAAACCTGTCCAGTTTGCAACGAGCTCTTCCCATCCAACGTCTACCAGGTTCATATGGAGGTGGCTCACAAGCACAGTGAATCTAGGTCTGCTGAGAAACTGGAGCCTGAAAAGCTGGCCGCGTGTGCACCATTTTTAAAGTGGATGAGAGAGAAAACAGTTCGGTGTCTCTCCTGCAAATGCTTGGTGTCCGAGGAAGAGCTTATCCATCACTTGCTAATGCATGGCCTGGGGTGCTTGTTCTGTCCGTGCACTTTCCATGACATCAAAGGTCTTTCAGAGCACAGTAGAACTATGCACCGAGGGAAGAAGAAACTACCTGTGGATTACAGTAACAAAGGCTTTCAGTTGGATCTGGATGCTAACGGCAACCTGATGTTTCCTCATCTTGATTTCATTACCATATTGCCAAAGGAAGAACTTGGGGAGCGGGAGGTCTACTTGGCAATCCTGGCTGGGATACACTCCAAGTCACTCGTGCCCGTGTACATTAAGGTGAGGCCGCAGATAGAGGGTGCCTCCGGGAGCCCCAGCAAACAAGCACTGACTTGCCCCTTTTGCTTTGGCACCTTTGTGACGACTGAGGCATATGAGTTGCATTTGAAGGAGAGGCACCATATCACACCAACTGTCCATACAATTCTGAAATCTCCGGCGTTCAAGTGCATCCACTGCTGTGGGGTCTACACTGGCAACATGACCCTGGCAGCCATTGCCATCCACCTGCTGCGCTGCAGAAGTGCTCCAAAGGACAGCAGCTCAGACCTCCAGATCCAGCCAAACTTGATCGAGAACAGCGAAGTGCTCTTAGTGAACGGTGAGGTGATCCACGACTCCAGTTTTTCTGTGAAGAGAAAGCTGCCTGATGGCCACGTGGGGGCAGAAGACCAGAGGGACGTGGAGGAGCGACCTCTCGTCATCAGCAATGATGCAGCCCTGGCTCCCGAAAAGGTGGCGAGTGTGGTGCCTTTGAAAAGACAAAGGAATGAAATCAGGACAGAGGGGCCGCTTGTTAATGATGACGCTCTTCAGATTTTAGCATTAAACCCTAAAAAATATGAAGACCGTTCTTATGAAGAAAAAAAGCAATTTCTTAGAGATTATTTCCACAAGAGACCATATCCTAGTAAAAAGGAAATAGAACTTCTTTCTTCACTCTTGTGGGTGTGGAAAATCGACGTGGCTTCATTTTTTGGAAAAAGAAGATACATTTGCATGAAAGCAATAAAAAATCACAAGCCTTCGGTACTTTTAGGCTTTGATATGTCTGAACTTAAAAATGTTAAACACAGGTTGAACTTTGAGTATGAGCCACAAAACTTGTAAAAAAACAAATTAGGAAATCTAAAGTACTAGATAATTAGTGGTTTTTTTCAATTGAGATTTAAAAAAATGTTATTTTCTTCACTGTATGTTGAACTAATCAATTTCAGTGGTCTTTATGCTGCTCTTTAGATTTATTTCAGGTGCTCAGAAAGACTTCTATATAAAAGAAGTGAATAGTTCTTTCAAGTTTATTATTTCCTGCAGTTTGATTTTGTAACAAGTATTTTAGTTCTTCCCTGTCATGTAAATTAAATCCTTGGATCTTTCATGCACGTCTTGTTTCCCAGTAGTGTCAGTACGGTAGGATGGAAACTGAAATCTCTATGTTTGTGTTTTCGTTTAAGGAAATTTCAGCTTGTTTCAGAGTACTTGATTAACTGCATTGAGCTTCCTCAGTTAGCTTCACATGTAGCAGCAGATGGTAAGCGTCCGTGCTGAGAGAAGTGAGTACACACCCCGCTGTTGTGTGTGGTTCCGTGAGGACGCGCTGCATTAACTTACGCTGCTTTCTCCTTTGCAAAGGTACTTGCTTACTAGATTATGATTTTGATTTACATTTCTTCAAGTTTGTCCTAGCAGCTGTTGTCTTATTATAAATTCTAGAAAACCAAATGTTTTCCTTTGTTAAAATTATACTGAATCTGAAGCCCGCTATTTAGCTCATAAGAGTTATTTTACAAATAAAGCAATTCGGTAGATGCAGAAATACTTCTCAGTGTAGACTTCTCCCCTTTTTGATACGGTTGTAAGTCATTTCTCCATTCAAAAGTAAGAGTAAATTTTTAGTGCCTTTAGAATAAATGCTGAACACACACACAAACTCCTAACCTAGCTGTTGATAAACCAGTGAAAGGGAAGGACCATGTTACTCAGGAATACAATTTTTACCCCTGAGTGTGGATACTAACTGAAATGTAGACATAGGTTTTCAGGGGACAAAGTGAAATGAGTAGAGCAAGAGCCGTCTCCATGTTGGTATATTAAATCTTTGACAGTTTCCTAGAGGTGAACATGTTTGTTCTGGAGAAATAGGCCCAGTTGTCTGGGTTAATGGGATGCTGTATTGCTAAAGAACTTCCACTGTATTCCTGTCCTTTGTACAGTTAAACCTCTGGGGTCCTCCCCCTACGCCCCACACACAGAATAACTCAAAGCACCAGAACCAGCAGTGGAGACCAGTCACTTTTAGACCTTAAGTCATATTCCTGGTGACACACGGCAGAGGCACCTGTCCAGCACACTCAGAGGATGTAGCAGTCTCTGGGAAATAAGATGATGTTACCATATGGATTTTAAAACCTAGAATACTTGCATGTAATTGCTATAATGTGCATTTTTGAGGCAGTTGTGAAACTGGTCTGTGATTGTTGGTGTGCTCTGTTTAAATCCAAAAAGAGCTTGTTGAAGTTTATTTTTTTTTTAACCTATTGTTTCAGAGTGTCTATTTTGAATTAAAATTTGTTATACCACTGCAAACAGAACCGTTTAATTCTTTTAACAGGTATGTCACTGTGACTCAAGAATAATCTAAATGTGGAAATAGATTTCACACTTGTTTGCTAAAAAACATTACTTGTCACTGTGAAAGTTAGCATAACCCAAAAGGGCTAATGAGTTACCACTGTCCCCACAAGAGATGTGGCTAGAGATTCTTGATGTGTCTGTAATATGGGCCTCCAGATGGTCAAAGCGGATGTTGGGTAGCCACGACCTTGCCTGTATTGAGGCTGCACTGGGTAGTGTCAGTGTGGTGGAGGCCAGGTTTGGAGGTGCCAGTGGGCAGTTTGCTGTGTTGGGGGTGCTGGAGGGGTGGTTAACCCACCGTTCTTTAGTCCTGTGAATCAGGGTTTCTGTTGGCATTTGGAGGGGACCGGTCCGTTGCAGTATTAGAGCAGCACCCCCAGCCTCCACCTGTTTCAAGTCAGTGGTCCTGCTGCTCCTCCCCCCACCCCCCATCGTAACAGCCAGAAATGTCCGCTGTCCCTCGGGGGCAGAATCCGCCCTGACGAGAACCACTGTGACAGAGGAGTTCTGATTTCTAATTGTGGTGTTGCTGTCGCTCAGCCTTTGATGCCGAGTCTCTGTGTTGTGCTGGTCGCTGGTTAATGATTTCCTTTGACCCCTGTTTTCCCCCCTGCCCTCCCCCACATCAGCGTACTGCTTCCGGAGTGGGACTCCGTCTTCCAGTCAGACCCTGGTTGCGAGGCCCGTCTGTCCGCTTGCCTTAATCACGGAATGGCAGTTTCTCATGCAGCTGAGGGATCTGGACACGTCGTCTTGGGTCTCAGCTTCACTTGAAGGCTCATGAACATTTTCTTTAAAAAGCTGCAGGTGAATGACCTAGAAAGGCAGAGGCGTGAACTGGAACCCCACAGAAGGCCAGAGGATGGCTGCCACAGCAGGCCTCCCAAGGCTGCCAGTGCAAAAGGTGGGGAGAGGGCCACAGAGTTGTGGGGAGGAGGTGCCTTCAGCTGCTGCTGTAACATGGGCTACAGGGCAAACATCTGGATGGCAAGCAGCACCATGACGGAAGCTTGCAGGGCTGGGTCAGACAGGCCTGGCAGACAAGCAGAGGTGGCTGCGTCCGAGGGCAGTGCTGGAATCAGTAGCAGCACTGGTACTATGGTTGAAGATGAGCTGGCCCCGTAGCATGGACACCGGCATAGTGTAGGTCAGCCCACCTGTCCGCCGACTCTTCCTTCACCTCTGTCACAGACCAAACAAATATTCTGTGAAGAAGCCAGGCTGGTCCCAAAAAGCCAATGGGGAACCAGAAGACCCTTGTCCACATATCACCAGATAACCGCAAAAACAGAGACCCTGCACAGCTGCCATCTCCACACTGGACTCGTATTTCTGGGCACAGATGGTTTTCCAGAGCTCTTCTAGAATGGTCCACGTAGTTACCAGGAAAGGGCTGTTGCTTATAAAAAACCATTTGCTACCTGGCCTCCTCCATGTTGGGTGCACGTTATCCTTTCCTCAAATTTAGGTTAGTTTAATCTCCCTTGCGAAAGTCCACGTGGCTCTTGTTCTTTATAAGGTTTTGAGGTAAGAGCTCTGGAAGTGCTGTGCTGTAGTTGATACCTCGCTGACCTTCTCTTTTGAGGCTGCCAGTAGGTGCGCTGTCTCGGATGCAGCCGGCAAGTTCCCAGGTGCATGCAGCCACCCGCCTGCTCTTACACCCCTTCAATCCGGTGATTACTATGTGGGTCTAGATTTCTTAAGAGTTCACTAAACAAAGCAACACATAACTCTAAGAAAAAGAAGAAAAACTCGGCCTCAAGCCCCAACCTCGTTTTTACTTTAGTTTTTAGGCAGTGTTTCTAGACATTTGTCAGCCGTTTACTGTTGCTAGGAAATGGGCTGAACACTTTAGTAATAGTACCAATGATAGTGTCACTGTGTTGTGCTCTCTACAGGGCAGTCTGCACCCTAACGGCTAGTCCTCACAGCACCTCTGCAACTTACGCGGGAATGGAAGCATACAGGGGGCCACGTGTTGCTCACTGTGGGGAGCCAGGAAGGTGGAAGGGCAGCCTTAATACATGGGAGGAGAGCTTCATGCTCTTGATGTCCGGTAAGATGTTGCCTCTTACTCTATCTGCATTTCACAGATGGAGAAATGGGGTCAGAGGTGGAGTGACCAGCTGTCCAGTTTGCTCTGGACTTCCCATCCAGGCGAGTGGGGACAAGTTGGTCACCCTACTCAAGGCCAGTTTACTCCCCACAGTGACCTGTCCCTTACGATGGTGCAGTACTCCCTCTACTACTATACCTACTATGTCCAGACACAGACCTGGCTCTTGGTGCGTCGAGATCTATAGGGTGTCCTGAGGAAGTAGAAAGACCTTATAAAATTGACAAAAATCACTAAAAATCTGTTGTGTCTGTCCACCATATTGTCAAAATCAGAACAAACACTGATACCAGTCATTCATTCAAATGATCTGTGGACACGTTTTGAGGGTAAGCGTCTAGAAGGTGCTAAGTAGTAGCTCGGGGAGCTTTTCATAGCCTTTAAAGAAGGTGCTCCCCTGACCACTTTTCTTTGTCCCACACAAAATCATGAGCTTTATGTTTATTTTTAAATAAAAATACATGAAGTCCTTTTGAGAAGGGAAGCTTTTCCAATAAAAGTTTAAAATTTTATTAAAATTTAAATTATAAACCAAACTTTAGCAACCATATAGGCATATTTAGTACAAACTAAGATTGTGTGGTCTTCCATTTCAATATAAATTCAGAATTGTCATGAATGAATATATTTTTTCAGAAATTGTTTTCTTAAACAGTTTACAATCCATGATCTGGAAAGTTTAATATTATGTTAAATAATTTATCATTTACTTACAAGTAAGCTAGAGAAAATTGAATAACTAATAGCAATGAATAATAAGGTTTTAATGGTTCAGTTTTCTTAAGATCACTTTTCTGTATAGATGTGTAGATCTATCTCTAAAGATGATATTGTTAGTTGAGCTATAAAATCCATAAAAAACAGTTTTGCCAGAGTTTACAGATAAGTTGCCTCATTTTGCTTCCACAACCCCCTACAAAGCAGCTTTCAAAATTGGAAGATTGAAGACATGGAAAGTCCTACACTGTCTATGAAATAATGTACAGAGAAAAACAGCGGAAAATAAGCAGAAAAGCCCTCACGCCTAGCACCACACACACGTGTTAATGTGATCACCAAGACTGTCCCGTGAATGCGGGCGAGAGCTTCCATGCAGATTTAGTCTAAGGTCTTCTTATTACAAGGAAAGTGTCTTTGGTCCTAAAACGGACAGGAGACATCTACAGTTGGCTGTTTTGTGGAAGAGGACTTCTGAAAACAACGGGAAATTCAGAAGAGATCATTTAAAGGGAATTACGCACTTTGCTGCAGGGAAGGTAATCTTTGGTTATTTTTAAAAATTAACTTTGTCTAGGGACGCCTGGTCGGCTCAGTTGGTTGCGCATCTGCCTTCGGCTCAGTCATGATCCCAGGGTTTTGG